TCAGCGTAAAGGTAGGTCTTACCTGTAGTAAAGCACTTGCATATATTGTTGATATAAATTATAAAGAGCAATGGGCCCAAGACACTACCCTGCACAACACCACTGGTTATTGGTCGAGGTGTAGATGTTGTAGAGTTAAGCTTGGTTATTTGGTATCTGTTTGTGAGGAAAGACTTAATCCATTGCAATAGGGGGTTTATAATTCCAACTGACTGGAGTCTGTTGATTAGAAGATTATGGGGTACTTTGTCAAAGGCTTTCTTTATATCGAAATAAAGTATAATCACTAGCTTTTTCTGATCACGTATGCGAGTAACCTCGTTAAAGAAGTCTATCAGACATGTACTACATGATCTTGTTCTAATGAAACCATGTTGTGTTGGGTCTATTAGTTCTTCCTTAAGTAGGTGATCTGATAGTTGACTTTGTATCACTTTTTCCATTATGCGCGAAATAACTGGGGTGATATTTATAGGTCTGTAGTTTCCGATCAAGTTTCTCGGTCCTGATTTGTGTTTGGGAAGAACATACGTTACCTTCCAGGCTTCAGGATATGTACCCGCCTCTAAAGATAGTGTGTATATTTTGAGCAATAACGTATGTATATCCGGCCCCGACATTTTATAGAGAATTGATGGTATATCATCAACACCAGAGCTCGCATTCGGCTTAAGGGTTTTGATGGCGGTATGTATACTCCTAATGTCAAAGTTTATGGTGCTAATATAGCTTTTGCTTATGCATTTTATGTTAAAATCTGGGGCATTAGATGTATTCCCGTTTTGTGAAAACCATTCACTTAGCAGTTCGCATATGACGGTTTGGTCATAGTACGTCACGCCATCGTGCAGTAAACAGTGAATGTTGTGATCTTTGTTCTTTCTCATCCGTTTTTCAAGGAGCCGACATAAGTTCTGGACTTTAGATGCAGCTGTGAGCGCAGTACGTTCTTCTGTCTGTTTGTTTTTGTTGTGATGACTTTGCACTCCTTCAAGTACTGAGTATACCTGGTGCAGGGCACTAAAAGTCTTTTGATGTAAAGTACGTCTTTCTTAGTTTTCGTAGCTTAGACTTAGCCTTTTGGTTGATGTAGGGAGCAATTGTTTTGAAAGCAATTTTAGAAGGGATGGTAGTGTCTAGTGCAGATTTGGTGGTAGTATTGAATATTTCCAGTGTTTCTAAAAGGTTATCACTGGTGAAGAAAGTGTTCCAGTCAGAATGCTTCATAAGAAACCGAAAGTTACTCCAGTCGGCGTTTGCATAGTCTCTATATTGGAAACACGTATTTAATGTCTTTAATTTTTTGCGCTTGGCAAGAATCGGAAGGGTGCAGAAGACTATTTTATGATCGCTATTATGGAACTTCTCGCCAACCACCATTGATGCTGGTGTGACATTGTGACAGAATATTAAATCAAGAATGTTGTGGTTTCGGGTAGGCAAGTTAACATGTTGCTGCCAACCGTGTATGTCTAAGGACCTTAGTATTCCTTCGTAGCACGGTGGGCCAGAATGTGTCTTCCAGTTGATGGTTGGAAGGTTGAAATCACCACAGACAATTTTGTAGGCGAAGTCAAGCGAGGCAGCCTTAGCAAATGACTCACTTATAATGGTGTCAGTCAGACTGGGGGTATTCGGAGCTCGATATATACATCCGATTAGTATTTTACATTCAAGGGTGTGTACAGTAAGCCACATCGAATCTGGTACTTTACTGAGGATATGATCACTAAAGATTTCCGTCCTCATGTTTTTTGATGCATATATGAGACAACCGCCACCCTTCTTGGTGACTCGGTCACAGCGGAAGAGCTCATACGTGTCTATTTGGAGGTACGTGTCTGTGATATCGGAGGACAACCAACTTTCCGTTATCAAAACAAGTGAGGGGTTTTGTAAAAGTAATAGGGCGCGTAGTTGAGTCATCTTATTCTGAATAGATCGGGCATTAATTAACATTAGTGTCAGGAAGGATGAGTGTTTGTCTAATAAAATGGTGTGCTGTAAACCCTGTGGTTTGTCGCTTTTACTATGAGAAGAGGAAAAAGTGGGAGTATTGGCTCTACTTTCTTGTTTGTTTAGTTTAATACCAGCATAGTTAACGGGAGAAGGGTGGTCGTAGGTTATTTTGGCGAAAGAAGTATGTTCACGAGTGTTGGGTAGAATCGGGTGAGTTAAATGGATAGGTGGTGTATTCGGGGGGTGATCATGTTCCGTCAAGGAGCTTTTAAGACTAGAGACAGTTATCGACGGTGATAAAGATGTGTCACTCCCCATCAGGTCGGAGTATATAGAAGGTGGTCTCAGAATAGTGGAATTGTCGCCCTCAACATTTGGAGACCCCATAGCAATACTGTTGAGGGGGAGAGAGATAAAAAAGGATGAGGTGGTGTGTGTGCCAAATTAGGGGAGATCAGAGAGTTATAAAAGGTGGTTTGGTTCTGGTAGTATTTAGAATCGATAGGTGGGTCCCCAAGCAGGCCAACATTATGGTTGTCTTGTGTGCAGTGGGGTGTTCTACTCCTGTTACGGGTAGTTAGGGGAGTTGTATGTTTCAAATAATTATTGCATGATTGTCTGACATTGTTGCCGGGGATGGTGTTCCTGTTGTGTGGGCTGTGCTGATTCCTGTAACCTGCATGTTTTAAGCTATATGGCTTATTGGCATCATGCGTAAGTGTGGTTTTTGTCGGGCGTAACCTCACGTTAGGATATGGGGGTACTGCCAGTTCATTATGCTTGTTGTAATGCATTCGACTACTATGAGTAGGTGCGTGTTGTGTATTGAGAGATCTGGAGTAATTATGGGTGTTTAGAGAGAATTTGGTATTATTTCGCATTACAGTGTTTGGGTGGTTATAGCTATTAGAGTGATTGATGTGAGGCTTGGGTTTTGGCTTTTCATCAGAGCCACAAGAAGAGTGTTTTGAAACTGTAGATGCATAGGTGGGTGGGCATTTTGTTGTAGTTGAGTGTTTGGGTTTAAGGTGAATGGTTACAGCTGCCTGGTGTCTAGTCTTGTTCTTAGGACTAGTAGCAGTATGCGGCGTGCCTCCGTTTTTGGGAGGGGTGGGGTATGGTGTTTTAGGGATAGCGCTATGGCCAACGTTGTAACTGCCGCTACCACTAAGGCTGGATTGATTGTTTTGCACTTCATTGGAGTTTCGACGTTGGATGGCAGTCTTGTCATGGGTGATTCTAACTTTCTTAAAGGTTGGAATGCGCCTCAGTAAAGACTGGCTTTTAAGGAGGTGATTGGCTTCTATGATACTACCAAACTGAAATAGAATGGGACAAGAGGCTTTAGTCTGTGTTTTACGTAATCTTCTCGCTACACACCAAGATTGCGACAGTCCACATTCTTGTAGTAGAGTATTTTTAGCAAGCTTTAGATTCGTACTATCAGGTACATTATACGCAATGACATTGTGCATACACTGAAGTCTTTTCAGCACTTCAGATGATATGTGGTCAATTATTTTTTCAGTGTTTTTTATAATTTCGAGATCAGGATTTTCCGGAACACTGATTAGGTATTTATACGGTAATAGGTCTTGAATAGTTTGGGTGAGGCTAGATTTTATTTGACTGCTTTTAGAACTATCACTGGTGAGATTATTAGAGTTTATATCAACATTATTATGGTTCATTTGGTTGCATAAACATTTGTTGCAACTGTCTACCGGGTGGTCATCTTGTGCGTACTTAGTTGGGGGATAAGGTATATGTTTGGGTGAGTAGTCGAGATCTACATTATTAGGCTGGCTACTGTAAGTGGGCTTACGTGCACTCTGTTGGCCATTACACAGGATGACCGATTGTGGATTTATTGTGTGTATGGGGTCAACCGCACTGTCTAAATACCGCTCACAACGTGTAATGTGTGGGCTGTCAAATGATGTCGGGGTAGGCGGTAGGTGATTACTCTTATTTATATCTACAAGCGAGATGCAAGGTAGTGACAGGTCATGTCCAAGTACATGGTGCACGTCTAGTGTAGCTGTAGGAAGATCAGAGTATGATGCAGACTGATCAGTGTGTTTAGAAAGCTTCACATTATTCGCGTGAGTGGTGGATTTAGATCTTTTGCACGTGCTATGAGCATCAGGAGAGATTATGTGCTTTTTAGATGACCTGGACATTATTAGAAGTAATGTAAATATAAATTTTGTATTGGGTGAGCAGCGACTGCTGTATCTTTACTTACTAGATGTGTAAAGTTTTATGGTAGAGTCAGATCAATATTTGCTAATAGCTAATATATTAACGATAGTGAAAGAGGAAAGGTGGACAGCGTGTGAAATAGTGAACTTAATGTACTACGTTGAATCACAGGATGGGGTGTCAAATTAATAGAGCCCTATCAGAAATGAAGTATTTTTTCACTAATAAATGTTGTTAAATTAGAAGGAAACACTAATAATAATAAAAAGTATAACCACGTGAAAAAAAGTTACAACCTTCAAAAGAAGCGCCAATATGAACTACATTATGTTATTAAAATGTACGCACAGACCCATCTTGAAGTCAACAATGTCGTTGTCCCCCTCTTCAAAAGAGTTGTAAATCTCTTGGATCAAGGGCCAAGACAAGCAACCAAGTGGGCGATATGGTTGAAACACTGATCTCTCCTAGCTAACGTGACCACAGTTCCCTCAGTGGATAGCTTTAAGAGGAGACTTGACAGACATGTACTCACCCATGGATCACCATCAACCTCTATGACCAGCTGTGTTTGATGAGTGTCTCATGTATTATCACGTCCATAGTCACTGCATATCAGTAACGACTTCTTATCTCATTTATTATCATCCCCGTTTCCCCTCTTATTCTTTCAATTCCGTCATCCGACACATTGTCAATACAGTACAATATTTATTTATTATTGAGACAACCGTCTTCTCTTATGTTTTAATTTTTGAATTGTTGATTTCACATCGCAATAAATCAACCTATTTCCTGGTAGTATGACAGGTGTTGGTATCCAGAAACTTTATTGTCTTGATACAAACGCACTCACTCTAGCTAAAAAATATACAAATCCACAAATAACTATCAAAGTGACTAGAATTAGCCCAGTCGAGTGGCCAGGTAATCATTGACACTGATTCGTAATGAAACATCAGGAAGCGAGACTAAGAATTCAATGCTTTTAGACAAGCTCGTCACAAAGATATTGGATATTGAAAACTGTAGTAACGGTTCCGAATATGTCCGCTACATTGTAGTCCAGTTTGTAACTTTGATGCGAGTAGGTTTGCATTCCTAAAGAAATTCTCAAGAGCATCCCGTTATCCATGCAATATGTGATGACATAGCTGCCATTACGGTATTAACTTTGGGACAATAATTTAAGACACCATATAATTGATATTATTGTGATAAGAAACTGAGAGCAGATGAGTTTACCTCAGGGTTTGCAGAGTTTATACTCAATATATTATTTTTATGAATAATCATGTTTAAAGTGACTTTCCAGGTGGTTGGCTTACAATTTATTAGTTTGTAAAGGCTTTGGTCTGCGACAGGCTTTTTGTTCGACATTAATGTCGAAATGGGAATTTCCCCCAACGCCGAGGCGATTTAGGAGACCTATTGTATTTTTTCATGTGCTGATTTTGCGTTCCACAAAATATCTTGATACCTACACATAGCGTTCATAGATATTTGATTTCACGATGTTACCTTAACTCGCCAAAGCGCAGGATTTTAAAGATGCTGTCAAAAGCTACTTATTTTTTTACTTTGGGGTTGTTGAGTTTTGTTTCATCGCACCTACATGACACTATTTCTATGGCTTTTAATGTTTAAATTTCTCTTAGATCATTTTAGCATGGTTCAGGTATTTTAGTCGAAGGCCCAGACACAGAAAAAAACACTTAATGCAATACTATTACACGCCTTTTCATCTTGTTAACAGATGACACTTTCTTATCAGGAGTATAAAAGCCAAGGACGGAAAAATACAGTTAGTATTCAGGTTTTCTCACCGAGCAGTCACCTTTTGAGACCGAATGCCTAGTCGACCCATTATGAAGGAAATCAGATACCCATAAAAACCTTGATTAGCATATGTATGACTAGATTGCCCAAAATCTGTAAGTCAGTTCCATCACGTTTTTCGAACCAACTGCATCTCATTAAGCTATCAAAGCCTATAAAATGGACTAACTAATTTAATTATCACGTTTGTGACAATCTCTCTAACTCTTTAGACAGTTCAATTCGGTACTCGTCTTCTACACAGACTTGCTTTATTTATCTAAACACATAAAAATTGATACAAGAGGGTATCAAATACATATGCGCCACAAATCATCTGATTTGTGTTAGGGTTGGAATACTGTTTGAGTGCCCAAACTGAGGCACGTAGTTTTCTTGGGAGGTCACACCCCAAGCCTTTGACCTAGAGGTCTAATCCACAAGGTAGTGAAGCAACGTCAGGAGATGTAGTCCCATGGTAGCCGGTGACCAACAATTTATTCATACGCCATTTGTTTCCTTCAGGATACTGGAGCCCATGTGCACCATTGGTTTAAAATGAGGGTTTTTCAATCCATCTAGGTGGGCTCGCCGTGTCCACCAACTCGGTTAAAGTGTCGGACATTCGCTTTTCGTCCTCTCAATTTCGTAAACAACAGTAATGCCACGAGAAGGCAGTGTGTAGGATATCCCTGGCAGTTATGCTACACAGTTGTTCAAACGAAGATAGATAAAGTGGGCTTTGAAACTACAAATTATTGGTGTTTTAATCACTAAATCATTATCCTGAAATATGCTTTAGTGCAAGGTTCACATTACATAGTCTATGTTGTACAACTTTTCGTAGTCTTATTATTCTTAAGTAAGACTACATAATACCGAATCCAAACATGTACATTCAGTAGTTTTTATATTGATAAGCAGTAGTTCACTTCAGGGCTCCAAATAAACTATCAATTGAGGTATAAAACTCCAAATAGCCAAAACTGGTATGTGAGATAGATACTGGTTTCGATGAAAAAAAACATTGGTCATTTTCATATAATTGTGATTTATTTTAGTTTTCCCTTTATGTGCGCTTTGTTATGTCAATGAATGTATTTAGGTCAGTCTTTTGGTAGGTTATTTTCTGTCATTTATAAGCTATATGGTCTTTAAGTGTCTAATAATTGCTAACTTGGTATTTTCTAGACTGATCTTCTGCATAAATACTTTCACCTGTTAGTTGTATCCCATCTTCGGTCATTAAAATCCTATCAATGGAGGACGAAGAAGTTATCAATAGAGATGTAAATCTCACAGGTAAATAATATTTCCATTTTATTTGTTCCATAAGGCTGTGGAGCTAGTTGGGCGTGTGATCCAAGAAGACGTCCTCATCGCTATATCGTGTTATTCTTCATTTGTTTCCTTTGTTTTGGAAGCTATTTTTGTTATGATAATCCTTCAGCTCTTCAAGATGTCTTCATAAACTCTTTAGACATGACAAAGGTTGAATTTATGAATTTGTACGCATTTTACTCATGGCCAAATGTAATTCTAAGTTTTGTAGGTGGTTTTCTTATCGATAGAGTATTTGGTATCCCATGGGGAAGCATTATTTTTTCAATGTTTGTACTTGTGGGGCAAATAATATTCGGTATAGGAGCTTATTTTAAAAGTATTCCTGCAATGTATTTTTCCCGATTAATTTTTGGGATCGGTGGTGAATCACTCGCTGTTGCACAGAATACTTATTCAACTGAATGGTTTCCACCGAATGAGTTAAATCTAGTATTTGGACTTCAACTTAGTATGTCACGTATTGGATCAACAGTGAACATGGTAACAATGCAACCACTGAATCGAGCTATTGGCAAATACTTCAATATACATCTTAATAAACAATTGGGTGCATCTTTATTGACTGCTTCTGTTACCTGCTTATTTTCTACTCTCTGTGCTCTAATTATGTTGTTTTTTACAAAAAGGTATGTTATGTAACTTATGTACACCATAACTTGTAATTAGAGTACTAATTTTCATTTAAAAATTCGTGAACTCTTATTTTATTTGTCTGCGCCTTGTATTACGAAAATATTATTTGACGATATTGTTTAACATGAAGCTGAGTAGTGGCTTGATGGTTGAAACATTCAACAGGTAGATCGCAGTTTGGGACTCTGTCTCACTTATTTCAGTTCGAAACCTCGTACAAGCAATAAGCATAAATCAGTACCTATTAAACGAGTTATGTTCATGATATAAAATCTTACATTCGGTAATAATATTTTCATCAGGAGTGTAAATCACTATACATACATCTTGTCCCATGTAATTATTCATGGTATAATGGATGGTAACCTGCGTTGAGAAAGCACATGTAATAAAGTAGCTATCTAAGTTTTTTTTCACTCAATTATCCTGTCTTGCACTGCATAGGTTTACAAGTATCGAGTTTACTGTCAGCAATAAACTTGTGAATAGTTAAAAATAGTGTTTTTGTCACAAGTCTACCTTCTAGTTTTCGCATTTCGAACGAAAATGGGGGGATTTTATGACAAAAATAGTGATATATGTTATTTCTTGAATAAATAAACAAATAAATACTTTATCAGCTATTCTTAAAATTATCCACATTTTCTAGGTTAATTGGATTTTTTGTCTAAATAGATCAACAGAATGTTAATGTGAAGATATTTTTCATTAGGTGTAAAGCCAATCCATTGTATGTCGGGGCTAGTTGTTCAACCTTGCTATTCACAAGCCTTTACCATTACAAGGACCCTCTACTCGTTAGACGTAGAATCTACAGTGTAACTTTAACTAATAAGTCATATGTTTGCTAGTGGCTAACTTTAAGGAGTAATTCAAGAGTTCTAGTAGGAAGTTGTGACCAGTGAAGTTTCCACCATATCAAATATAAGACAAGTATCACCAATAATAATGAATGATTGTCTAACAATATTGCAGATTGAAGCTATACTTGTAGATCATTGGGTGGCAACTCTCTGATCTGGTGTCTAGGCACTTATCGAGTTCTCCAAAAGTTGTAAGTTCGATCCTTGATGGGGTCGTGGGTGCACACTTCTGGCGAGCCCCATACTAAGACGAGTCAACCGTTCACTGCTTTTCTAGTTTTCACTGTTTCTCTGAAATAAGTCAGTAAATGATATGAAGTTAAGATCATTTGAAGTTCTACAGACTTTGGCTATAACCGTCCTGAAGTATATTTTATGCTACTCTCTCTCTTCAACCATTGTTTCGCTTAAAAACAGTAACTATTACCCTAAATTTGAGCAGCGCTAAGGTTGGCATAGGGTACTACGTAAAGATGATAAATCAGTTAAGAAGGTAGTGAATCTTCGTCAACCGAGGTAGTTGGTACATTTGTTACATGTCTTCAACCACCGCCTACCTGGACGGGCCATGTCTGGTGTAGGAGTAGGTTGGAAGAAAGCTAGAGCCAGCCAAACCAGGATGTAACACCAGTTCATGAAGTAACTGACAACTAAATTAAACTAATGTTAGTAGGTGTAGACTACCTGGTTGGAGTCCTTGTGATCATCGTAATCAATGGTTAGAGACTGGTTGACATGGCTCAGAATCGCTTATAATGGTTTAGGTGCATTTACTTGCAATTTTTTTTGTAATCTGAGTCTCGAAACTCACTTATACCTTTTACTTTCTTTTTCTATACCTAATCTTTCCTACAACTGATACTATTTGTACTCCTGTTACTATTGTGGGTTTTGTCTTGAAATGATGCTAATGTGACATGACAACTTAAACCGATGCACATATGTTCATCAGTTTTTAAGTTGGACATAAGTGCATGAGATTCATAGCACGTATTACCTTTTACATTGAATTTAAAAAGTTTTACACTACTGTCAGGACATACAGTTTATCAGTTCACTCATCGTTGCCATTATCGTGTGTTTTTCTTCGAAACCTTTTCAGAGCTAAACGTATTCTATCAGCTAGTGGAAAACCTCATTCACTAAATACTCAACTTATTGAATCTAATCTACCTGAAATATCTAATCATGAAGAAGAAGAACAGTTACTCACAAAGAAAACAGAAAATCAAACCAAAAAGATCTCCCCTATGGATGTTATTCATTTTCCAGGAGCTATTTGGCTTATTTGTATCATTTGTGTAGCGTATTACGTAACAGTCTTTCCATTTGTTAGTTTAGGACTAGTATTTTTCGAAAGTAAGTTGTTTTTATAATGAATCTACTATATTTTCTCTTAAGTCTTGGGCTCCAGTATTATTCCATACTTTTTATTCTTCATATTCATTCCTTTCCAAATGATATTCGTTTTCATAGTTGAAAGCGTTAGTCAATTGAAGCTAGACCACCATGGAAAACCTGGAAGCACTGGAAGTTAGACATTAACACCGTTGGATGTCGGCTTAGTGGTCTATCGGTTAAGGGCTCTGGCTCGAAACTGGTAGGTCCTGGGTTGGAATATCGTGGATGCGCACTGCTGAGGAGTCCCATAATAGGACGAAACGGCCGTCCAGTGCATCCAGGTTTTCGATGGTGGTCTGGCTTCAATTAACTCACGCTTTCAACTATGAAAATACTAAATCTCCACAAAACCCCTTCTGAAAATTAATATTCGTTTTGTTTAACCTTTCTCATTGTTATTGGAAATTTGGATGATACATATTTGTGCCATGCTGTATGCTGGTTATAACTTACTGAATTTTCATTAATTGGTGTCATTGATCTAATTAATGATTGTAACAACTGATTACTAGTAGTTTGTTTTTCTTTCCCCACTAAGAGAAACCAAATGTGATGTTAAATGTCTAGTAGTCAATAGGAGCTGCTGATGTTTTAATAAACGTCAATGTGGAACTTTGGAGTAATCTAAACATGCCCAAAACAAAGAAGTTAGACTAATTCATGAAGTTTCTGACTGTTGCTTCTAATCAAAACAGTAGGTAGGCAGATTCATTACACATCACTCCAAATCAACCTGCATAAAATTAATGCTCATTTTATATATGAAATCAAATCTTATTAACGGGATAATTCCAGAGTGCTGTGATAATTGTGACCTGATATTATCATCACTTTACCGAGACTTAAAATTATCGAACCTGTAAAGGGTCAAATAGACTCCTGGTTTGATTGTGAATGTACTGATTGAATGTTTACTCTCCGAAAAAATTTAGAACTCAAACATGCATTCTAACTCCCCACTATAATCATATTTTCTAAGTCATTTTCCACATTCAACCCGAAAAGTTCTTATGACAGTATCTGTCACTAAAAAGTGCGTTAATCTATTAAACGTCCCTTTTACTCAAACACCACTGATCATTTCAGGGCTTAGGGCAGAATATCGTTTGGAATGGTTACGTCAAATGGTGTTTGCTAGGGCTGTCCGGTTTCCCGACTCAGTATTTGCCTAAAAATAACACTTTCTCCATGTAGCTTCTTAGCGATCTATTTAGTGTTGGTAGACTGCTTCATCAATTCTAAATATGAGTATGAGATAGTTCTATTTGGTGAATATAGAAACAAGGTACAAAGCATTGTGAATGTATTGAGCTACAATCCAAGGGCACTTTTGGATATATTTCTCACCTCTCTTAGATGCAAACTATTACTTTCTGATTAATCTATATGAGTCCCAATTTTGACGTTGAACGCATCGATAACTTTACTTATTGCTGTAGTTTCATCAACGTTAGTGGGTTAGTATCTGACAAAATCTTCACATCGATCGGAATTTTTAATTGACTGTAATGAATTTAAACCAATTATAGATCAAGCTAGATATTCTTCTAGTTGATAAAGAGTGAGTATGTTTTTGGATCAGTTTGTTGTGGTTTACTTAACGACTGTGAAACATGATCTTTGATGTTAAATAGTATTCATAAGTTGCTAGTATTTAAGTATAAATGTCTTCGAAGGAACTAACCACTAATTGATTTATTCTTTGGTGAGGAATACCAAACTAGTTGGTGAGATTGTGAATCTTTAGCGACTATGGTAGTTGCAGTCCCATGATTTAAACTCGAATACCTGCCTATCTATATCTTCTTTCAAATCTTGGACTTTTACATGCATACTTAATGTATATGGCAATGGCTCGTATAATTTTACTAAGTTATTTAATTCGTTGTAATGTTAAATGGGTAGATTGTTGATTCCCGCCTGCCTCGTATATTTCATCTCAGTAACTAACCTCTTCTTTGATTTCTTTTTTTTTCCACTCTGTCCCTCCCTAAATCCCTACATTTTTATATTTTACAAACATTTAGGAAAATTTGGTTTATCTGTTCAAGATGCTAGTGTTGTTAACAGTATTATCTACATTATATCCGCTGTGGCAAGTCCTTTATTTGGAGCAGCAATTGATATTATCGGATATAATTTATATTGGTTATTCAGTGGAATATTAATTACACTTGGTTGTCATTTATGCTTTGCTTTTACGAGTGGTCAGATTCCCCCATTAGCTATTATGATTGTGATGGGTTTGTCTTATTCTATTCTGGCTAGTAGTTTATGGCCAATAGTTGCTTATGTATTGCCATTGCATCAAAGAGCCACAGCTTATGGTTTAATTTCATCAATTCAAAATTTAGGACTTGGATTAATTTCCATATTTGCTGGATATTTAGTTGATACCAAAGTGAGTTTATGCTTTCTTACTGTTATTGTTATTAATTACCTAGAATGTCGATAACACTTTCAATTGTAGAATGATTAGTGGCTTAATGATTAAAAGATTTATCTAAAAATCAATGAACGCCAGTTTTGAACCATCCGGCATAATGTACTTTCTTTACGTATGGCTTATAGGGAAGTGGTGTAATGTGGTTTGTACTTGAACGCAGCCTATGCTCCTCGACGAGGGGTAACAGGCGTAAGTAAGTAAGTAAAATTGAACGCGTAACACTGACTTTGTAATCTCTTCCCTATAAATTTTCTACACTTAAGGAGCGAACAAAAGGTGAGAAGTTGGAAGAAATATTTTCTTTCACGGTTAGTTTAAGTACTGAAAACACTGATATTTGTATGTTGATGCGTGATGTTAATATTCTAGGAGCTGTTGGAAACTTGCTAAAATTATCTAATTAGATGAAACAATCCATTGTCTCTTTATATCTCTTTTGGAAGCTTCTATTGAACACTAGTTGGACGAAGTGTTTTCATCCTTTCTCCAGCTTTTGAGAACCTCTCCTCTGAATTCTTTAGAGCTTCCAATACTTTAACCAATCCTGACTGATGATTCTGAAAAAATGAGGGACAGTAGTCATACTTAATCACTCCTATCATACAATTCCAGATCACAACTGTTTAAGGACCCGAAAACAGTTCTATCGTCAAGAAACTGTGATTGTCGATCTGCAATACATATGGTGTAATTCATGTGTTTTTAAGGTTCATACTCAATCAATACATCCAAGGGATCCAACCTGTTCTTGGTGAATTAATTCACTATGCGTTTCAGACATAACTAACTGATGAATAAAAATTTTTCATAGTTGAAATCATGAGTTAATTGAAGCTAGACCACCATGGAAAACCTGAAAGCACTAGACGGCCGTTTCGTCTTATTATGGGACTCCTCAGCAGTGCACATCCACGATCCCGCACACGCGATATTCGAACCCAGGATCTACTAGTCTCGCGCCAGAGCACTTGACTCACTGAAGACAATTGGTGAACGGTTGCTCAAAATCATGGATTGGTTGAAGTTAGACATTAACATCGTTGAATGCCGGCCGACTCAGTGGTCTATCAGTTGAGTGATCTGGCGCAGGACTGCAGGTCCTGGGTTCGAATCTCGCGAGTGCGGGATCGTGGATGCTCACTGCTGAGGGGTCCCATAATAGGACGAAACGGCCCGTCCAGTGCTTCCAGGTTTTCCATGGTGATCTAGCTTCAATCGACTCATGATTTCAACTATGAAAATACTAAATTCTCCACAAAACCCCTTCTGAATAAAAAATTTATTTACATTTTGCACTCCATCTTTCCAACGGTCATTCTGCTCATGTTTACGTCGGTTTATTATATTTTATTAAAGTTTTATAGATTTGTTTTAAACTTCCAAAGTTCACAGGATTTTTTTTATTTCAATATGTTTTTAAGATATAAGATCATAATTACACTATCAATATTTAATTGGTAATTTTATCAGCACTCAAGTGGTACAGTTTTATTGATTGATTTATTCGAACTTTTAACAGTTCAATATATTTAGTCTTTATACCTTTTCTCAATTAGTTACTTTATAAATTAATGAGTTAAATGTGTGCACTTACTAACAATGAGTTTTTGTATAGTCTCTTGGCAATATCAATACCCTAACCCTAATTGCTGTCCTTAAAAATCTTAATTTTATAAAATCTAGAGTACATCATCCTTGATATGGTTGATGCTAAATAAGATTTCTCCTTCCTCGGTGAAACGGAACAAAGGTCAATGACACGATAGGCTATTTTAACCCGTTGTCCTAGGCCCCGCTAACTAGAGTGAGAAGTCCAAGATGAAGTAGGGGAAAATATATTCTGTAAGCAGCCGAAATACAAGCAATCACAATAGGAAGAAATCAAACCTATATATATTGTCCTTGGGAAGAATTACAAAATAGCACACTAAAATGATATAACGGACCAATAGCGTTTAAGATATTTTACAAGTGGGAAATACGACTCTAAAGTGAAAGGAGCGCTTTTGGCGCGAAAACAAAGAAATTCAAATTTTCAAAATAAAATTGCCAAGTAAGTTCTGGGGATTTAACATCCCCAACAATTCTTTATAGGCTTCAAAAATACTCTTCATTTGTGAAGATGCAATTTTACGATTTCTGTTCCTGATATTCAGAATATTCCTAGAAATCCCTAGAAATTAGAATCTGGTGATTATCTAATGTTTTATCGTCTCCACATCACCACTGTGTGCTATATTCATGTGACGATTTTATATTTTGTGAACAAAAACAACTCCCAAAGGCAAGCTTATTTGACCTGGTGATTGATGTGAAATAAAGTTTCAACAACTTCAATTCGCACATTTATTGGTTGGTTACATTACGAAAATTACAAATCTTATCAATCATATGTTAAATAAGGACAGATCAACAAGTTGTGTCCATAACTAGTAACTTTCATAGGATAATTCACGTGTTTATTATGCAGGAAAATGTGTGCCTAACTGAAATTTTATGGCGAACATTGAGAAATTTATTTATTTGAACACATAGATATTGGTACAAAGGGGCATCAGATATATATATGCGCCACACAAATCTAACTTAATTTGTGTTAGGGCTATGATACTGCCCAGGTGGTTTTCTTGGGGGGTCACACCCGGAGCCTTTGACTTAAAGGTCTGATCCACAAGGCAGTGGAGCATCGTGAAAAGATGCAGTCCCATGGTAGCCGGTGACCAACGATTGATTCATACGCCATTTGTTCCTTCAGGATGCTGGAGCCGATGTGCACCATTGGTTTGGAATCAGGGTTTTCCAATTTCCCTATGTAGACCCTCCGTTTTTGCCCGACCTGGTTAAAGCGCCGGACATTCGCTTTTTGTCCTCTCAATGTCGTAAACAACGGTAGTGAGTAGGACTTCTCTAGCAGAGGCTATATACGCTTGGCCATGTGAGTGGATTTCGAGAGGGGGAGCGGACTCTCCACACTCTCGACTGTACCAGGGCATTTGAGGGGCACATTGAAAAAGGACGCATTTATATCTAAATTCTGGTAATAAAATGTCCAATACAGTATACTAGAGGGAGAAAACTATAGCTAACTTGATAAGATTGCGGAAAACTATGAAGTCATGTTTATTAATCTAATGAAAGAGTCTGTTATAGTAACAATGAATAAATATTATTTATTATGCTCTCAATGTAGAAATACCTAATTACATTTGTGTGCTTATTTTCTGTATTACATATTACAGGGCTATTTATTCCTTGAAGTATTTTTCATCTTCTGTCTCAGTATTGCTATTACTGCTACATTTGGTTTACTTATATGGGATCATCGTTTTGGCACATGTTTATTAAATGAATCTGGTGTAAGTAGACGGTCTAAAAATCTCATGACCAAAATTGTTGATGATAGCACTGTAAGCCATACATCACTGGAACCAGTTATTACTTGATGAATAGATATCTGTATGTAGTGATGATAATAATATGATGTTGAACTTTAAAATTTACTTCATCTCTCATATTCTATCATAAATGATTTTCAACTAGACTTATTACTTTATTTTATGTATCTTGCACGATTAGTTAAATTTGATTCATATGTTCTATATAAGTTCATTCAATCAACTATTGAGGTGAATATTTTTTGTACAACAACAGCTGAAATTCCTCATGGAGGTATAACAGTTTAATTTCTATCTTATTTTAACGATAAATATTCAATTATGTTCCGTGTTTTTCACTTCATGTCTTTTGTAAATCATGAATTCTATGTACTTTTTAAAATTTTATTTGTGATTTGATTTCATGATAAGTATTGGATATTCCTTTTGATTATATAAAATGTTTTGTAATTACAGTTTACCCGCATTAAACTGGGAGTAATCTGATTTTTTTTCAATCATGCTGTTCGTATGCATAGTTTACCCTACTTATGATTGTTTCAATGTTAAATGGTTGGGATCAGTTGGCAATTGAGCTATACTTGTGATTAGCGTTCCCCAAGTCTTCTATACTATCTTCTGTATAAACCCTTTTCATCTTTCAGGTAGTATTATCATGCTGTTGAGACGATAACTTGCGACTTTATAGAGTATTTGCTATGATCTTCAATTCAGTAAATCACTTCTGGCTCAGTCGATTTTGCAGGTATAGACGATTAAGAATAAGTAGAGGGTTGTATCAAACACAAATCGAAGCGTTAGCTTGTTGGTTGTGCATGTTGTCGCTTACCCAACCAGGGTTATATAGGTATGATTATGGTGGGATGGAGAATTTACTTGTAGTGTTTGGTTTTTTAATCCTTCCGTTTCTCACCCAATGTAGATTTTCTCGTACACTAAGTATTAGAAGTATGCTTGAAAGATTGATTTTTTCTCAAGTTGGCATAATTTAACAAAATGACTGGTCTCTTTATCATATCTTTCGGATTCATCCTGTGTTAAATATAGGTTCTTAATAATTTTAGTGGATCTGTACCTACGGGATGATTCAGTTACGCATCTTCGTTCAAGCAGATCACAAAGCAAGAACAAGGAAAAATTTGTGTATGGTTCCAAAGAATGGTAATGTATAAACAGTGTAGATATGGTACTAGCAAAAACATGTATCGAAATACCCCTTGACAATACTTTATCCAACGTGTATAGAAACAAATTAGCGGCGCCTTGTGAAATTAATTTCCAAACACAAATAGAATTCCTTGTGATCCGGGGACAATGTTCTGTCTAAAAGATATGACTGTTAACAGGGTTCCAGAAGGAAGCAGCTAAACAGAGAAATGCGAGGGTCGTGCGATTATCTGCTTGTCCTTAACACCAAAAGTTCCTAACGAACAGGGGGTAAAGTTTATATTGTCTAGGTATTGATACACCCATGTGATTCAAATAGGAGCAATCAGGAATACTCACCCGATATAGCAGCCTAAATATAACATTGACCAAAACAAAGTCGTAAAAGAAACAACGGTGTCAGGGATTTCATGAGAATTTAGAACTTGTAAGCCGTGTAGTGCAGTAACTACAAACAAACATGAGGATGAGTGTAATATGCGTGAATGGTGGGTTTAATAGGAGTGGCATCACGGATGAATGCTTTCACAGGGAATCCACACTTTAGGAGTATTCACATACAAATAAGTTCATACAGACACGCCAACACAGAAGGATCTTACACCCAGAATACTGTTTCCAAGCTGGATCGTATGCAATTAAACATGTACAAACATATCTATAGGGCAGATTAGCAACAGGACGTCACAACTTCCCACATATCCAGAGATTTAAACGCTCAGATATGTTTTTCCCATCTTATTATAAAAAGAGGTGACCACAAATTAGCACATCTCATATTGAGAAGCTACTTTGGACCTGACATCCTACATTTTTATTCCTCTAGGTCAAATAGTCTGTATAGCCGCCACAGAATACTTCAGAATCAGCAGCCAGATCGGCCTGTGTTAAGATAATGATCTAAGTGAGTGACTAACGACACGACAGGTACACCTTGTTGACGAGTGCCAAGTAGCACGAAACCCGGGTTAAGGGTTTCCCGTCGACCACCATCTTATCTCAACATAATCCATGCAGTGTCGAGTCACCTAGACTAGTGACCACATTGCAATTTGATCGACATCATTCGATCAGCAATAAGAAGGACTTGACATGCATGACATTGATCACCATCCAGTGATCAATCAATTGTGGTAAATGGTTTCGTTGGTCTTTGACACTGTTACTGACCTCATTATTTTTATTGGCCACACTCCTTATACATATCCGTTCGAGTATCTGTAACAGCTCAGGTTGGTTGGTTAAGAGTTGACCCCAAACAACCAAGCATATGCTAAAACAGTATTGTTCAAGTATTCATTCACTTCCTTACTTTTTGTAAGCGTTATATTCCCTATTATCTTATATTGAATGTTGAGAGCCTTTGTTTGTCTGAACAGATAATCCCACGCTCCACTGTGACTGCGCGTAGATCAAAATAAAGACCTATTCACTACTTCTCTGGTTTCTTCTATCAATAGCACGAGGGTTACCTTAAGGCACGAAATATCCTTATCAGATCGCACTTCGTCACGCCATGCTGCTCGTTTCTTACAACAGTCATTTAGCTTGGATTACATACTTCTGAGCACATCGACCATCTTTCGAATATATCTTCGCCCCCCTTCAGTCCTGACTAATTGTCTGATTGGGTTTGGCGTCCTCTATAAAAACTGTGTTTCAAATGACAGCATTGTCAAGCCTTCCACATTGCTGACATTTTTGGGGATGAGCCCCGATTTTATCTGGCACACCAAACTATACACTATGAGTCTGTTCCTGGACACAACATTATATATGCATATATTCTCAAATTTTTCCGCATGTTTACAAATTTCGTTATTACCTCGGGACTTACAATTTAACTGTGAAAGATTGTGACTCCTACACTCCTCACTTTGCAACTTCTGATATCCTTGCCTGGCAGTACCGAAGCCTGGTTCTGCTGTGCAGAGGCTGACTTCCACAAGCACTGCATGACCGACTCATTCGTGAAGTTCCTCGCAATACTGGAGGCTCTCCTGCACAAGTTCGACAGGTAAGTAACACCTAGGTTTACTATTAACTTTTCTGGACCTAACCATAGCTTCAAAGGGGCCGTCCTTGAACATGGAGACCTAATCGACCGACAAAGGTTAAATCAACCCTTCCAAAATACCGAACTGAGACACGGCTGGGCAACATAAATAATAATACGTAAGCAAGGAGTGACCGGTTATCAAACTTTCGCAGAGAATTTCTTTTGACAAGTCTTCCTATATAAGCTTTCTTAACATGACAAGAGGTCTCATCCCAAAAATAACGCTGTAGATGTACCAGGTGCCTCTGCAGACCGGATTCAGAAGGTAAACCAGATCTCTCACCAACGACCAACTGGGAATTATTTACAGATGACTCAATAGAAAACACAACGGATGTTATCACCTCTTATCTTAAATTCTGTTTTGATATTTGCTGTCCTACTGAAACCTTCTTTTTAAGTTTTGATCGACTTACATCTCCACAACTAAAACGACTACGGAGGGTAAAAGAAAGGATGTACAAGGAGAAAAACACTATTGAAGTTCGTAAGTTAAATGATCAAATAAACCAAGAGATTAGACGTCTCAACTGTGTGTTCACTCAAAAACTCCTATCTTGTAGAAGCTCTCCAAGTATGTGGAAACTCTTTAAAGAAATTACAGGTGACAGGCAGACTAGAAGCGATAACCAGCTAAATGTTTGTGACTTAAATAAGTCCTTTATTCATCAGTCATCTGACATCATGCTCCCTATATCCAAGGGTTTGAAGAACAATTGTGTCCCCAGTTTCACTGAAAATGATGTCCGGAAATGTCTCCAGTCTCTGAATTCATCCCAATGTTTAGGACCTGATGGTATCCCAAACCTCCTTTTCAAAAAATGTGCTGGTGTTTTATGTTATCCATTAATGAATATCTTCAACAGATCCTTCTCAACTAATGTCTTACCGAAAATGTGGAGAAAGATAAAGGTAATCCCTATACCTAAGAAGGCTTCTGGTGATAAAAATGCGAAACTTAGACCCATAGCAATAACCTCACCTTTCCTCAAAATAATGGAAAAATTACTGATACAACCACTTCAACCTGTAATAAAAGAGCACTGTGATCCACATCAGTTTGCTTACAAATGCAAAAGAAGCACATTAGATGCCGTTGCTGTTCTGCATCACAATATAGTGTTCGGGTTGGAAAAGGGTAAGAAGTATGTTAGATGCGCTTTCCTGGACTTTACTTATGCTTTTGATTCTATTCCAAGACACCTCTTACTTAAGAAGCTGATCAGCGTCGATACTGACAGCTGGATAACCAATTGGCTATGTTCCTACCTTTCTGGAAGAGAACAGTACACTGTCTTTGAAGGAAAGTGTTCAACATCTCTACTGTCTACTGTAGGTGTGCCACAAGGAGCTGTTCTTTCACCTCTGCTCTTCTCTTTCTTTTTGCATGATCTGCCATCTTCCACAGAAAACACTTTTGTAAAATATGCGGACGACCTCACTGTATGTATGCCAATTTCTACCTCCTTGCATCCTATAGAAATGAATGAGTTTTTATCTCGTATTGAAAGGTGGTCTGTTGTTAATGGTCTCTTACTCAATCCATCTAAATGTCAAGCTGTTAATTTTAGCTTGAGACATGGACAGAACCCATACTCTATGTTGGGATCCCATAATGCTTGTGCCATTGGAGACTCCTTAATAAACACAGTGTCGAAGGTCAAATATCTTGGTGTTGTTTTTTCCTCTGATCTTTCTTGGTCTTCTCATGTTTTGATGTTATCGAAAAAAGTTTACCGTTTGACATACTACATAAAGAGGCTGCATGCTTTTGGGATTACTCGCCATTTGCTCTTACACTTTGTAAATTCCTGCATATTACCTATTATTTTATATTGTTCTCCATTATTCTTTCCTGGGCTTTTGAGAAAAGACTTTGCTATTTTGCGTAGAGTGCTGGAGGCAGTTTGCAAGGTATGTGGTGAATCTTTTGAAGTCATTGTTAATATGCTTGTGGATAGACATCTTAAGTCTTGCAAACTCTTGGCAGGTGTTATCTTATCAGATACTAACCATCCGCTTCATTCATATCTTTCTCCTTGTATATCTTCTGGTAGAACGAGAAGTAAATACATTAAAATTCATGCACGCAAGCAAATCTATAAAAGTTCTGTAATAATTTACTTAGCTAATTTACTTTGTGACGAACAGGCTGTTAGAGTTGACCTAGTAAATAACCTGTCTTCTTAAGCATGTCTCATATTCGATAATTTGTATAAACTCAGATTTTCTTAAACCTTTTTTATATTTTATTTCTGTTTTTTGTTGTTTTGTTTTTTTTTGGTAAAAAACTTGTTGAAATAACTCGTGCTGAGAATTCTATATTGTACCAGATTATAATATAGAATAAAGCCATTAATAATAATAATAATAATAATGAGGTTTGCTCAGCCAATTAAAAGTATTAGTTGACCCAAAACGAAATTACACTTACCGCACTACTCTCACTCACTTTCTTCACCTTGAGTATGACTACAGACGATCCAGAACTCCCCAAAGAGACTTATATAGCGGGCGATGAGCCCCTTAATTAAGGGAAATATACAATGCTAATTGGTGATAGCACTACAAAACCTTTTGAAAATCTTTTAAAGACATCAGGAAAGTGGATTTTACTCACCCTCTCTGGAAAATCCTCAACTGGCACTCGTTAACGGCAACCAAAGCCGGCTGATATAGCCGTTTTTTATACATCTCGCTGACATTGGAACAGAAGTTAGCTTTTTCAGTGAATATTAACGATTGTCCTATCTTTATTTACGGTAAAAGATACGTTTGTTTCGAAATTGGATCAGGGAAACCTGTCCACCGGGTTTTTGTTACTGAAGACATATTGGTGCCAGTCATTGGGATAGCCCGGTTATAACGTCACAACTTATCGGCATAAGCAAATGGTGGTTAGTAGACGTCGATAAAAAGTAATCTATTTGCGAATTTTCGTTTGCTGGTTGTAGGTCATGGCTCATGAAAATTAAATGTTTAATCGATATCTTTCCTAATTGACACTCAATAAATAGTTCAAACTGCATGAATCACAACCGAATTTATCGAGTGTGACTTTGGATGTTACACATTACAACACAACTACAGGATTATCTGTATTCTTCAAAACTCTTTGACTAGCTCCTTAAAAGCCAAAGTTGACTAAGAGCGGGTTCGGTTTCTGATAAATTTAAGAATATTCTGGCCATTAAATAGGACAGAGACATCTCTATTGTATGTGTTCCCTAAAAAGGATACCAATGATGGACGTTCAACTGACGATCATTGAAGATTTAGTACAAGAACCATTCTGGATCACAACTCTTTACTGCGTGTTCTCGACCTGGCAGCTACAGTGAAAGGTACGACTGTCTTTTTAAAAATCGACTTAGGGCGTATCACCAAATCTTCATAGCTACGTACGACATTCCTAAAAAGTTTATAGTCACTCCCTTCAAACTGTACGAATTTTTAGGTTGTTTCTTCGGTCTTAATATGTTGCCCTAGCTTTTTAACGACTCGATGATCACGTGTTCAGGATTTTTGACTTTCTTTACGCACTTGTTAATTACTGCTTGCTCACATTGGACACTTCGGAGCGTAATTTGAACCTGCAACGTAAACCGCTACGAGTGATTCAACCAAGCAAGTGTTGGAATTGGACTGTATGGTGGTAAGTACCTCAGGCTTTCCGTTTTCACGCACTTGCATGCGTGCTTATATGTCTAAAAAACTTTAAAATATGCACGAAACCGATCTAGTATTTTCCCAAGTTACCAAGTATGAATCCCAAACACCCAATAAAGGGGAAATAAAGACGAACAAGGGGGAAATGCAATGGAAAATAAGAAGAAAATGATTGGGAAACGCGTCAAAATGTCTGCTTTTTCTCCTGTCCCGAGGAAATAATGTAGAGTTTCCCCTTTATGTCGCTCAACTGTCTACTTTCCGCCTAAATATACACCGTATTGTCCTCTTTTCGTTTAAGTGTACGCCGATCTGTCTACTTTTCGTCTATATACATACCAATCTAAGTAATTTTGCATCCACTCTTAAAACGATATCGTTTTATTTGCAGAATTTAGTGACTTATCTTAGAAAGTTAACCATTTTACGTGTCAATTCTGAAAAATATATAGACAGTTTGAGATTATCTTTGGGGATTGTAGACGTTATGGGTAAAGCGGAAGTGTTAATTTTGATATATTTCCCCTGAGTTGGGAGATTTTAGGTTAAACCCTCACAATTTGGTAATTGGCCATCTGTATTCATATTGACTTCCCTTAAGGATCTTCTTCAAGATTTCCCTAAGGTTCGCCTTTGTTCTTCCCTGTTTGTTTGCCTAGTTAAAGTCTAATTTTGCTATATGGTATGTAGTCGTTCGTAGATCTCACCTAACGCGATGTGATGTTAAGCAATGCAGTGGAGGATTTGGGCGCAAAAATTTGAAATGTAGGGCAAGAGAAATTGATCAGAAGCCCAACGTCTAATCCAAAAATCAGTCAACACTAAGTGATCCGTAGGTATGTGTATATTGAACTCCGGCAGTTGAAATTAGGTTTGGTATAAACAAGGTTCCGAATAATTCAGTTTCACCACTAACCTCATGAGCTTTTTGCATCTATACTTTATTAAACTAATGTACGCTGTTTAGTCTTGACTATTCAGCTAATGCAACACCATGTAGTTCAATTAGGCTGAAGTTTAAATGAGTGGACTTGAAGTCATAAGCTGTAGTTGAAAATTTGAAACGACTATCAAATAGTAAGAAACTATAGTCATGTCGTTGTTTTGTAATTTTGGTAGGATTAAACTATACTGCCGAGCCAATCAGAAGCTTTCGCGGGTTTTCAAGGTCACGGTGCTAAGTTCGGCACCTGATGCTTACGTACGGTCGGTTTGCAGCGGATTTTAGGGAAGACGTGATAATTTAGCGTCTACAATAGAAGTGATCATAAGATTTTGGCGCGAAATTCAATTATCCATTTGGATAAATAGAGTTTTGGCATTATAGCTGATGTCAGTTCGTGATGAAAACTCTAAGTATAATTCCTAGCCTTAATCATGAACTAGAAATCATAATTTGAATTCTTCACACAGGTTTGTAACCCTCATTTGGTCTTAGTTATTATGTTGACACTCTCAGAGTCACTCTAGCGTCGCTCAAAGGTTGTCCATAACTTATAGTCTCACCTATAACCCCTAACCCTACACCTAAATCTTAACTCTAACCCTAACCTGTAAACCATACCAATATACTAACATTATTGAAGCTATGTGGTCGGGGCTAAAAGAATTTTTGAGACCTTATCATGGTTTCAGAGGTCGACTACTATGGAGCCATATGGATGTGTTCCTGTACCGTATGCACTAAGATTTTAAAACTTCTGAACCTATATCTGACCTTGAGAAGTTTTTGACCTATGTAAAAGAAGTGTTTCCACTTTAATTCTTTGGTTTTGTATAATATATTTTTACTGTATACTATCTGTCTTCTGATTGGCTAATATTTCTCAAGGTCATTTAAAATTCGTTCAAAGGTCGGCAGTATAGTTTAATGTTACCGTAATTTCTACCAGCTCATCACTTATGTCTGTTATCAGATATGGTTCTCTTGTTAGTTATGATGGTGGTTTATGATCTAGTCAGCTATTTCTGGCTTGTTTCCATGTAAACGTATTCGTTACTGTTGAATGAACTTAATCTTTTTCTGGAGATTGACTGAGTTTGGTTAACGTGATAAAAGCTAGTCACTGTGGGAAAAACATATTATGTTTCTTGATCCTTGATCTTCCACATTTATAGCAAATGAAGAAAACCCTCTTTTGACACGAGATATGGATCAGTTTGATCATTATATTTTCCAATGCACTTTCTGAATACGGACAGTCAATACTAGGTAGGTTTTAGACCTGACTGTGGTTGCACAAACCAAATGTTCACAATTTAACAGTTTTCGAAACATACCAATCCCTGACTATAGTTACATTTCATGACCTAAACGCCTCATTCGACTCCGTTAATCTAAATGTTCAAAGGCATTGAATCTCTTGCTAAAGAAGTCCATTACTGAAGGATCTTCACTTGCAGTTAGACATTCCTGAAAAATTTCATCTTGATTATCTACCTCATTTGCTATCCGTTGACGACAACCGATTTCCTCATTTATATTTACTTTTGCTATAGACATTTTTCCATAGATGATATTCACCTCACCTGACGACTAATTTATTGACTAAGTGTACTTAGATGGTGCTAACTAAATGCGAAGACTTCTGAACCTTTCGAGTAACAATTTAAGGATGTTGGGAGTGTATCTCTTTATTTTTAAACTCAAAATGCCGCATGAGCTGTGATTTAATGAAATAAACTTTGTTTTACCGTCGATCGATATTTTTTGTTATCCATTAATTTAATTAAAATATTTTCAGAATCATCAATGAATAATAAAAATTTGGAAGAAATATCTCATGACCCTCTACTTGCTCCTGGCAAACGTAAAGGTGCCAAAAAGACAAGGACTGTTAAAGACCTTTTTGATGATGTTGGACCAGAATCAGCATTCAAAGATAAACGCGGACGCCCTTGGTTCAAAAATCCACGAGCATACGTGAAACAAAAGTTAGCATCTAAAACTCAAAAGGATGGTTCAGAAAAACAATCAGACTCCAGTGGCAGTGAAAGTTCTGAACTCGAAGCCTCAGAAACTGAATCAAGCACTTCGACTAACGACGAAGAAAAAATCAATGTTTTCGAGGCTATTGAAGACCTACAAGGTTAGCACTTTTTTATCTAGTTTTTCTTATGATAAAAACAAAGAAGTGATATCCAGATTCCTGCCAAACTGAATAGCGATAGAATATCCCATTCAACGAAATGAGCAACCAGAGATAACCTACCCTGCCTCAAAATGCCCTGGTGCGGTCCGAGAGTGGGGAGAGTCCGCTATCCCTCTCGTAATGCTCTCACTGGCCACGCGTATATAGTCTCTGACAGGGAGGTCCTGCTCATTGCCTTCTCATGGCATTACTGTTGTTTACGAAATTGAGAGGACGAAAAGTGAATGTCCGGCGCTTTAGCTGGGTTGGTGGACACGGCGCGTCCACCTAGGGAAGTTGGAAAACCCCGATTCCAAACCAATGGTGTACATGGGCTGGCTCCAGTATCCTGATGGAAAAAATGGCGTATGAATCAATTGTTGGTCACCGGCTACCATGGGACTGCATCTCCTTACGATGCTCCACTGCATTGTGGATTAGACCTTTAGGTTAAAGGCTTCAGGTGTAGCCGCCTAAGAGAACCAACTGCTTCAGTTTGGGCAGCCGGGCAGTATCACAGCCCTCACACAAATCAAATGAGATTTGTGTAGCGCATATGTATCTGGTGCTCCCTTGTACCAATATTTGTGTTTAAATAAGTAAAAGTAAAAAGATAACCTGCCCATGTCGACTATGTCACACCTACCAAGTCGAAAGATGTTAACACTTGACTGTTGTGTAGTTTGTGTGTAACCAATCTCATCATAAATTCACCCTGATAAAATGCTGGGTCATTTGAAATATATAAAAAAAACTTGTTACTTGTTACCTGTAGAAGCCCTAGTAACATCACAATTAAACGGTATAAGAATTACATGATCATGCTAAATGTTTACTTGAGTTCTGCAATTTATGAACTTTAGTGGAACTCTTGTGGTAAATTGAAAATACAAAAACAGTTAACTAGTTTCATTCGTACTTGTCTATTAATAATCCCCTTATGTAAACAACTAAACCTAATTTTTTTTATCAGTTTGTCTGTGTGGTAACAGTTTTATTACACATATGTAATCTGCCCAATAACTAAGCTAACAAAGCTACTGAAATTTTCATTTAAATGGAAGATAAGCTTGAGGAACTCGTGAAATGTTGGTGGCCGTTTGTTCAGATAATTAATTGCATAAACAGTATCTGTTTCCAGGTGGACTAATTGTTTCTGTAAGGTCTGTAAAGACTGGGACGATGGTACAAGCCCACAACGACCTTTAAATTCCTATGTTGATGAATGTGTCGAGTGTGTAAGGTGCCTTGTGCTTTCCGATCTCTGGATCACTACTGATTTATTCGTCTGTGCACACGGTTCTGTTACTAGAAATATGGAGGCAATAAAATGTAAAACAGTAACAGTGTTGAAGCACGTTTATTATCATAAATGGAGAATATTCTGACAGTAGATGACTGATATACCTTGTAAACGTTTATTGGGCAGACTATCATCATCCATCTTTGTTGTGTAAATTTATGAGCTATATCAACTGCATCAACAAAATTGTCTCCCTAACTGTTGATCGCTTGTTAGGTTTTGACTGACAACTACTCCAAACCATGAGTCAAGTTAGATATGTATAACTTCTTTTCTTTAGTCTTCCGAATCCAGTGGAAATGAGGTCAGTATATTAACATTTAATTTGCAGTTTTGATGTTCGGTGTTGGCTTATTGTCTATTTAATGATTATTTATTTATTTAACTCACATAAAATCTGACACAACAGGACCCCAATAATAGTATATATCACTCAAAATATTTATGTATGGAGGTGGGATACTGCTTCGCATGTCCAAACCAAACCAGGTATCTGGATGAGTTTCTTTTTGTACATATTCAAAGTACAGGTATCACTGTATCTCCTGAAATAATTGAGTTCCGAAAATTCTTATTAGCCTTTTATTACTCACTGCCTTCTCGTGGCGGGGGTGTTATTTACAAAAGTGTGAGGACGAAGAGCGAATGCTTGGCGCTTTAACCGGGTTGGTGAACATGGAGGGTCCACATAGGGGAGTTGGAAAACCCTGATTACAAACCAATGGTGCACATGGGCTCCATAATTCTGATGGAACGAATGGCATATGAACCTATTGTTGGTCACCAGCTACCATGAGACTACATCTCTTAACGTTTCTCACTGCCTTGTGAATCAGACCTTTAAGTCAAAGGCTCGGGGTGTGGTCCCCTAAGAAAACCACCTGCTTCAGTCTGGGCACCTAGGCAGTATCACAACCCTCACACAAATCAAATGAGATTTGTGAGGCGCATATTTATCTGTTGCTTCCTTGTACCAATATTTATGTGTTTAAATAAATAAAATAAAATAATCTTATTATGAACCCTATTGTGTCCAAAATAAACCTAGACATTTTCATACCTACTATTCATAATAGCTTTCAAGTGTTTTTCCTACATATACATATAGGTGCAGATTGGTATGAATTAACTAAAGATTCAGTTCCTGCTACCCAGACAAGTCATAGATTGGCACTGCTTCATTTCGATTGGGATAATGCAAAACCAGAAACTATTTATATGGTCTTAGAATCATTTTTACCAGCCAGAGGCCATATTGAAAAAGTTACAGTAAGTCATTAAATTGATCAAACGACTTTCTAAAATGTAGACGCTAAACTACCATCCTTGCGTTGCATTTCACTTTTTGTTTTAAGGATTTGAGCAGAATACTAGACAAAATGATTACTTTGTCGTTTTTTACTCTCAAATGATAAATTATCTACCCTATTCTCCATCAGAATATCAGGGCATTCAGCTCCTATGAATTAAAATTTAAGTTAACTCGTTCATCAGGTACCTAGCTATGAACCACACTCTAATTTTGGAGGCTAGTGGTACTACTGCCCAGTTCCGAAAAACCAAAGTAGGTGTGAAGGTTTTCGAACCTGGGACTTAATGCCTTATTCATGAGACCGATGATTTATGTATTTCATGAAGAATAAGTTTTTATAATCGTACAGTTATTGATTAGTTATAATGGTGTTGGGCGACTCGGCTGCACAATATTTAAAAAAGCACATCTCAAGAGCGACTGGTTTGAAGTCACCAATCTATTTACCTGTTTACTTTATAGCTGATCTCGTTGAATTGTTTTGCATTTTATTCCACATGAATTGTTGGTAGTAGCTGTAACTTAAGATCATGCTTAAGTTTTATTAACTGAAATATCTGACAAAACAGTTAATTTAGATGAGTGATTACTATGGTTCATCTCGCTGTAACAGTATCACTATTAATTGTGAATTAATGTGGAAGAAAAATATTGTTTCTAGAGTTTTGTTGCTTTCCAGTTCCTGAATGGACTACAAACAATTGGTTTTTAACCCTCTAAGTACTATCTTACTCCATAGGTGTCCCTGTAAATATCCAATAAATTACAAAATATTTTTAAAGGTCTTATCTGACAAGCATTTTGTGGACTTTGACAGAAAGTGGCTAATTTAGAAATCAGTATTTTAAGCTGTTGATCTAATCGATAGGAAGTTGTCCGCTCCATTTTCAATTTTGTACTACTACATGATGTAAAAGTAATTCTTTTGAACAATGTATTCTGTCGTTGAGCCGTTTAAAATAGTTCATTCAATTAATATTTAATGTCAACATGGGGTTGTAGAGATTTATAAGTTGCATTGAGATCACGAACCATTCTAAGTTGAACGATCACTGAAAACATGGAAACACTAAATATAATTTTGTCCTACTATGAGACTCCTCATAAGTGCCCACTGTAATCCCTCAATCGAAAATCAAACCCATTACCTTCGCGAATGTTCAATCCCCAGATCACTGAGTCAGTATCCAGTGATGTACAAGTCTGGCTTCAGGTAGGAGTTTGTTCTGATGATGTCGTTCAGAAGATCGATGAAAGATCCACGACCAAACCATCCAACTCAGAGAACAAAACTATCAAAATTGGTACTACCTCCTAATATTCCTGCGGCTCAGTCAGGCACTTTGTACTAAGCGGCTGTAACAATCGTAATTGTAGTTAATTTGTATGTTATACATGTAGATCAGTTTCTTTTTAACATACTAACTTACTCCATTCTATCAGAATTACGATTGTTTCTTGTGTTAATCTTTGAATTCAATGTCATTCAACCGTATTACACGTATGTGTTTGTTTCTGCCTTCAATGTTTTATTTTCGGATAATACCAATTTAGATCTATCCATCCGAGTTTGGCATTAAACGCATGGCTGATGAAGCTCTTCATGGACCACTTGAACTACGTCCAAGTGAATCAGATACAGAATGCAATGAAAACAACAATCTGACTGTAGAGAATTCAACTATGGCTATAGATGTTGATGAAAAATCTGGCTGGCGTAATGCATCATCTAAACTCCGACGTCGCATTCGTGAATATCAATTAGCACGACTGAAATATTTCTATGCTATTATTGAATTCGATAGTGTTGAAACAGCGGAAGCAATTTATACGGCGTGTGATGGTCTTGAATATGAAAGTTCCGGTTCCCGGTTAGATTTGCGTTTTGTTGATAATGATCAACAATTTGAAGTAAGCTTTGCTTTGGTATTATTTCTACCCCTCTATCTGTATAACACTTTTTTTTTAAAAATACGATTGATCGATCATTGATTAACGACCAATGTCATGGATATTAAGTACTTTTTAGTGTTGATCGAACTCTATCAACCAACTTGCAATGTGGCGACTAACCTCAGCTACTCGACATCGAGTGCACTGTGTTGAGACGTAATTGGGTGGTGAGTAGAGGTAGTTTACAGGCAACTCTGTTTGTCACTTTTCAGCAAGGCGTTCCTGTAATCTCGAGGAAACTGATGCTTCTTGGAGGATTCGACTCCGTGGTACCGAGCTTCACAGCCGGGAATGTTACCAATGAATTGTTTGACTGTCAGCGGATCTCATGTAAGACTGAGATGTATTTACAGTTGATCGATCACTGAGTATCTCCCAGGGAGCATCAGTTCCCTCAAGATTACAGGTATCTCTTCTTGTAGAGTGCCAAATAACATGAAGCCTAGGTCAAGCAGGATTTCCTGTTGGCTTGCCTCAACCACCACCGGATACTAAATAATCTAAAATACGATTCGAATCTAGGACCACGTTAACCTGATCGACTAAATCAAATACAATATGTAGTCTAACTACTCATTTTCTTCAGAAGTTCATTTCGTCACTCAATAGCGCTCAATGGCCTCCAAATGGCCTGGTACGACCGATCGAAATGCTCTCACATGGCCACGCGTATAAAGCCTCTGCCATGGAAGTCCTACTCACTGCCTTCTCGTGGCGGGGGTGTTGTTTACAAAATTGAGAGGACGAAAAGTGAATGTCCGGCGCTTTAACCGGGTCGGTGGACACAGAATATTCACCTAGTGGAGTTGGAAAATCCTGAATCCAAACCATTGGTGCACATGGACTCCAGTACCCTGAAGGAACAAATGGCGTATGAATCAATCGTTGCTCACCGGCTACCGTGGGACTGCATCTCCTTACGATGCTCCACTGCATTGTGGATTAGACCTTTAAGTCAAAGGCTCGGAGTGTGGCCCCTTAAGAAAACCATTTGCTTCAGTTTGGGCACCTTGACAGTATCACAGCCCTCACACAAATCAAATGAGATTTGTGTAGCGCATATGTATCTGGTGCTTCGTTGTATCAATATTTATGTGTTCAAATAAATAATAATAAATAAGTATGTATATTCTCATTTGATTATTTATTCTAAGTATTGTATTCTTACATTTTGTTTTTAAATTGAAATATTCCAGGTTCCTCCAGAATATGCTCATCTTGTAAGTGAATGTCGGGAAATCAATAAGACAAAATACGCCCCAATCCGCTTTGAAACAAGTGCCTTACATTCAACACGAATTGGTATAACTTGGGATAAAACACCAGCTGATCGAACAAACTGGCTACGTGATCAATTCCGTTCAGATGTTGATCCGAAAACTACTTTAACAGAGAATAGAGATGAAGTAAGAAAATCGGTTCCCTCTTATTGATGCTTCCACTAATTTCTGCTATTTTCGTATACTTATTAAATTCTATTAGCATTTACTACTAGTTTTATCGTCATAACTCATCTTTTTCTAGTTGAAATGCTCTTGGAAATCTCTTCAGTTGTCTTACCTCTTGTGCTGAAAACTTTTGACTAATAATTACTCTCTGGTTGGTTTCATCACAGATGAAGGATTCATTTTAATTACTGACTGTCAAACACAACTCATCTGATTCTGTCTGTATTCCTGTTATCTTATGTGCTATATATCCATTCATGTATTGATAGATGGAATGGGTTTATGACATTTGCCAATAAGCTTTTAAACCTATCGGGGTTTATTTCAGACAGGTTTACTGAACTACCCTACTTCTGATGGTCTAATTAGATGTTTTTGTATATCTGCTAAAAGTAATTATTTTGCTTTTATATGAAGTGAAACTATCAGTAAAATCTTATTACGTAATTTAACGTAGGATTTGTACTACTTCAGTATCAATTTATTTTCACTTTGAAGCATTAATCCCTAATAATATATATTATTGGATACTAACTGAATGATTCAGAGATTGAGTGTTCGCGCACGAGACCTCAGGTCCTATATTCGATTTCTGATGTCAGGGTTATGCATGCTAACTGCTAACGACTCCCACACTAGGATAAAATAACTGTCAAGTGCTTCCAGGTTTTTCAGTGGTTGTTCAGCTTAGATCGATTCGTAACCTCAATAAAATAATCATTTGATTTATTCATTTATTTATAGCTTTCCAAATATCTTGCTCTTTCTTCAAGTGGGGCTAGTACAGCGGCTAGCTCAGATCCTGAATCAGAACCACCTGCCCCTACTGTCCCTCGAATTCATCGTCACAGGCCTAAAAAACTTCCACCAGCTGAAGTTCGTTTAGCACTTTTAGGATTGTCATCTACTGATAAAGTTGATATGGATGGAGAATCATTCAATCAAGATGAAGCGGAAGAGGAAGAAGAAGAAATCCTTGATCTGGCCTCTCATACTCTTAGTGATGCTTCTGAAACCGAAGAATATGATCTACGACCCGTTGAAAAGAAAAAGGACTCACAAACAGTAATGCCTATATCACGTGAAAAAGTTCGTCGTAGGGTATTACCAGAGGCGAGGGATTCCGATGATGATGATGATGAAGAAAAAGAAGTGGAAGAAAATAACAGTCCTCTTGAATCCGAAGACAATTACAGTGATAAGAAAGCTGTTAAATCCCCTCAGAAGAATGAGAATAAAAGAAAGAAAAAAATCAAACAGGTAGGATTTGTTCATAACAGTTAAAGTTTTTAACGATTTGTTCAGTTGTAAATGTTTTTCTCACTGATTATTGAGACGATAATACACATTGTATTATTCAGATGACTGCACCGGAGAATGATCTGTGTTTATGAAAAGCCTTTCAGTAATGGTAACCAGCTACTTACGTACTTTACTTAAGCCTGTTACCCTTCGTGGAGCTAAGGCCGCTTATCAGCAATCTGACCTGAATTCTGCTTTCCACTTGTTTCCAAATGCTATTCATTTTTTGATTTATGCCTCTAATTTTCCGCACAATTTGTTTTTTGGTCTAAGTCTTTTCTTTTTGTTTTGAGGATCCCGAGTTCGAGTTTGCTTCGTGATTCAGTTTGATGACTTCCAGAACGTACACCTCCAGCAACCAACATTCTTAAATTCCTCTCCAGAAGGAAGTTGATTTGTTCTTTGCCAAAATAAATTTTTGCTAATGGTAGCTGACCAACGGATCCGGAGTAACCAGTACACAACCTACATTATTATTTAGTAATCTATTTCAGAGTTTAATTTGGTCTTACATTGAGTAGAGAGGGAAGTGAAGAATCAGACATACTTTGAAATAGTCAGTCAACCAGTCGCAACGTTGGATCTGGTACTTATGTACATCGCTTCAGGTTGCCTTGCCTCATTAGCACAGAGAGATAAAATTAACAGGCCAAATCCCAGAATAATAGAGGTAGTAACAGCATCAGTGGTAATAGAAAAGATTAGGCATCAAAGATTCGAAAGGAAAGTATTAATTAGTGAGATAAAAACAAAAGAATGTTTGGGATATTTAGAATTTGAGGATTTAGGGGAATACAAGGAATAGATGCACCTGCATCATTGTAAACGATTTTGAGTCATGTCATTCAAAGTCTCTAACCATTGGTCACGATAATCACACGGACCCCAACCAGGTGGTAGACTTCATGGACTGATGCCATGTTTTTGTATGGCCGTCTCTAATTTTCTGCCAGCTTACTCCTACATCAGAAATCATCTATCGTTGAGGTAGTTGGTGGTTGGGCAAATGTAATACATGTGCTATCCAACTCAGTTGATGAATATTTTTTACCTGTTCAATCGATTCGACATTCTTACCTAACACTCTATTCCTAACCCATGCATAACTTACTCAAGGGTCACAAAATACACATGGACTGATTCGGAGACACCTATGATCAAATACTATTAACTGATAAATATCTTCTGTTCTTGGTGGCCATTTTTCACATTCATAAAGTAGAACGAAGCGGAGTACAGTCATCCTTTGGTAGGCAAACGGATATTCCTCCCGCGCCACAAGTGATGCAAGTTGGCAATGTTCACCCCAACTTTTTGAATCTCAACTGAGATTTCGTCAAACACAATACCATCAGGACTTGTGAGACTCCGAAGATAAGTTGAGCGGTCCATATGTTCAACTACTTCCCTCCCTATCATGAATTCAGACGCTGAGCCATGTCAATCTCGAAGCACCATTTTACATCTGGAGATAAATAAATCCAACAAGTCAGTCAGCTACAATGTAGGACCAGGCACATATATTCATTGGTCCAAGTTGCCATACTGTTGAGATCTATATTATTAATGATAACACCGTTTAGTAAAGCTGCATAAAACTGATAACTGTTAGTCCATAGCTATTCTTTGATTTCATATCTTAATGACGATGCGATTCACTGGCTTCTTCTCAATAGTCCAACATTATGTAGTTGATCGATGATCATGTCATCAACCAAATTATGCAGAATGAAAGATCTATTCAAAAACATGATATCCTTTAGCAGATTATCTGCAATTCCGTTTTAAAAATGGCACATTCAATCGCCGCCTCAAATGTGATTGTCTGATTTCATTTATTTCATAACCGTTAGTATAGTGTAGTCCTACCATCTTTTTCTTTGATATCTTATTTATTTTTAGCGTACAAAAATTTTGGAGAAAAAACGAAAAGTTCAAGCAAGATTAGAACGTGAATCGAAACTGGTAAGTTTTTGTTCATATTATTCATTTAATGTTCGTCTTGAATGAAAATGTCAATTAGCTAGCAGTATTACTAATAAATTTAATAGTAGTTTGATGCACTAGTCAGAAATTTATCTTCTGATGGTATCAATCCTGCATCATGTTTACTTTTTGATTGGGTGTACAGCTAAAACACATTAACATATAGGTAGTACTATCTTACTTACTTACTTTCGCCTGTTACTCCCAATGGAGCATAGGCCGCCGACCAGCTTTCTCCAACCCACTCTGTCCTGGGCCTTCTTTTCTAGTTCTTTCCAGTTCTTGTTCATTCTTCTCATGTCTGTCTCTATTTCTCGGCGTAATGTGTTCTTTGGTCTTCCTCTTCTCCTTTGACCTTCAGGATTCCATGTGAGGGCTTGTCTTGTGACACAATTGGGTGATTTCCTCAAAGTGTGCCCAATCCACTTCCAGCGCTTCTTCCTGATTTCTTCCTCCGCTGGAATCTGGTTTGTTGTCTCCCACAGTAACTTGTTGCTGATAGTGTCTGGCCATCGGATCCGAAGTATCTTGCGTAGACAGCTGTTAATAAACACTTGTATCTTCTGGATAATGGCTTTCGTATTTCTCCACGTCTCTGCCCCATACAGAAGAACTGTCTTGACATTTGTATTGAAAATTCTAACCTTGGTGTTGGTTGACAATTGTTTTGAGCTCCAGATGTTTTTCAGCTGTAGGTATGCTGCTCTTGCTTTGCCGATCCGCGCCCTCACATCTGCATCAGATCCACCGTGTTCATCAATGATGCTGCCCAGATATGTAAAGATTTCCACATCCTCCAAAGCTTCTCCGTCAAGTGTAATTGGATTGGTGCATATTGTATTGTATCGGAGAGTCTTGCTTTTCCCTTTGTTTATATTGAGACCTACTGCTGCTGAGGCTGCTGCTACACTGGTCGTTTTCTCCTGCATTTGTTGTTGCGTTTGTGATAGAAGAGCCAGATCATCCGCGAAGTCTAAATCGTCAAGCTGCATCCTGCCTGTCCACTGTATCCCGTGCTTTCCTCCAGATGTTGACGTCTTCATAATCCAGTCGATCACCAGGAGAAAGAGAAAGTGTGAGAGTAGGCAACCTTGCCTAACACCGGTCTTTACCTCGAACGAGTCGGTGAGTTGTCCTCCGTGGACGATTTGGCAGTTTAGGCCATCATAGGAGTTCCGTATGATGTTGACTATCTTCTCAGGCACACCGTAGTGTCGAAGAAGCTTCCATAGTGTCGTCCTGTCCACGCTATCAAATGCCTTCTCGTAGTCGATGAAGTTGATGTACAGTGATGAATTCCATTCGATTGATTGTTCCACAATGATACGTAGAGTTGCGATTTGATCTGTGCACGATCTATCCTTACGAAATCCAGCTTGTTGATCTCGAAGTTGAGCGTCCACGGAATCCTTCAGGTAGTACTATCAGTTTTCATATATACAAGATGTAGTTCGAAATGTGGTGTACTAGTTTGCGCTTGGTAACTGGGCTTTTGCCTAGTATGTCGAACAAGTATTAAACATCATACAACGCATATTTCGCAGGAATACATTTGTATATCATCATGTATTACTCATCATAGTAGTAGTAGTAGTAGTAGTAGTACTAGTCACCTTTGACTCATATCATGAATGACTGATAAGATCAAGCTAGACCAAAACTGGTATTCTTAGTATTACTATGGTAATAAACAGCTTGTTGTTTCGAACAACTGGATGGATCTGTTAAATACCATATACAATATATGATTTTCATAATTTAAACCACGAAATGATCTTAGACGGGAGTTTTGTCCTTGTATAGAACTCCTCGACAGTGCGTAGTTACCATACCGCGTCAGGAAATGTAACCCAGGACCTTTAGTCTCGCTTGTCAATAATTGATGTTTAAATCATTGGGTCGGAATTCAACGGTGTTGGTATCTAACTTCAATTTACGATATTGGCTGCGTTGGACAACTGATCCACACTCGATATGGTTGACCTCCACTAGTCACGACTAATCACTAGAACTGCGAGATTTTCTTCTTAAAACTAGCCACTAGTAAGCACATGAGAAGTTCCATACTAAGACGAAACGGTCATCCAGTTCTTCCAAGTTTTACTTCATATCAGTTCGTGATTAAAACCGTTAAAATTCTACAATATCGACAAATTCCCCCTATCATTTCAGTTGATGATACATAGTCTTCTAATTTTGTCTATATGGTTTCATCAATCTCTTTTCTATTTCATACAGTGGTTTGGAGAAAACAATAACCCCGATGAATTATGTGATGATGATCGTTTTGATGAATTCCTACGTAATGCTGCATTTGATATTAGTCAAACACATCCAGATTATAAAGAAGCAAGTGATTTCTTACGTTATATGAAAATACGTCAGTCGAGAATCGTATGATGCTGTAAATAGTACCGATCAATTCTTCTTGATCTATTTATACATGTACATTTATATAGAGTTGTACAGTTTTTTGAAATAATCCCTTTCTCTATTTCTTTTATCTGTTGTCAATTCATCAAGCAGAGATATTTTGTACAATATAAGAGATTTATATCGGTTATTCTGTTCATTTTTTTTTCGTCTGTGGTATATCCAATTGGAGATTACTTTGTTGCGTAATATGATAAAGATCTCTTAGTAATATAGAAAGATGGGAAGTAAATATTTTAGTTAGATCTATTGAAATGTCATTGTATTTTAGTATCCTGTATGATAGCCCCCAAATGCCCTGGTGTGGCTGGGAGCGGGGAGACTCCGCTCTTCCCCTCGAAATGTTATCATATGGACACGCGTGTATAGCCTCCTGCCAGGGAAGTCCTACCGTCTCGTGGCATTATTGTTGTTTACGAAATTGAAGGGACGAAGAGCGAATGTTTGGTGCTTTAAGCGGGTTAGTGGACACTGTAAGTCCACCTAGGGGAGTTGGAAAACCCTTATTCCAAACCAATGGTGCACATGGGCTCCAGTATCCTGAAGGGACAAATGGCGTATGAACCAATCGTTGGTGACCGGCTACCATGTGACTGCATCTCCTCACGATGCTCCACTACCTTGTGTATCAGACCTAAGAAAATCAACTGTTTCGGTTTGGGCACCTGGGCAGTATCACTGCCCTCACACAAATCAAATGAGATTTGTGTAGCGCATATATATCTGGTGCCCAAGTATTGAGTGATCGCCAGTTGGGAAGTTAGCATTTCAGGAATCGACATCTGAATAATGTATATTGCCAGAAACCATGATGTCTATCATTGGGCCTTTAATAACTTGTATAGCGAAAGGTTGTACGCTTTTCAGATACACACCTGAATAGGGTTATTCGATTAATAGCCAAAATGATGTATTAAAACAAACAAAATTATATAACTTGTTGAAGTATCTAGATGCCAGGAACAGATAGCCCATATGTTCAAACAGGCCCATTTGAAGTTAAGTTTAAATGAACCAGCAACGAACAGATTAAATGTAGCATAGATGAGATGAAAAATTACCAGGCCAACTTGTCTGAAAAAAATCATTTCGATAACCGTGTGAAAATTAGCCCGTTTTACAATTAACTAGTTATGGGTTGGCTCCAGTATCCTGAGGGAACAAATTGCATATGAATAAATCGTTGGTCACTGGCTACCATGTGACTGCATCTTCTGACATTGCTTCACTGCCTTGTGGATTAGACCTTTAGGTCAAATGCTCCAGGTGTGGTTCCCTAAGAAAACTGCCTACTTGGGTTCGGGCACCGGGATAGTATTTCAACCGTCATACAAATCGGATGACAAAGTGTGGTGCATATGTATTTGGTGCCTCACTGTACCAATGTTTATATGTTTAAATAAGTAATCCAAACATTTCATTGTCAGGTACCTTTGTTTTTGTACAAACTTAACGCGCATATACAACGATTGTTTATCAATGCAATTAAGACATGTAGTGAAAAAACATTTTCGTATATATATACTGATGATGTTAGATGATCAAAAATATTGTGCAAAATATTCGAATTAACTTACCTAGTGATCCTCGGCCATGTGTTACGTTTAGACTTCACACAACGATTATAGCTAGTAATTCATTAGATAAATGTGTGCTTTAAACAATCCTAATAAATACTATAAGATGATAAAGTTCTCAAGACTTATTATCAGGTACTATGAATAGGAGGCAATGGAACATGTTGCTTACTAAGCACAAAAGATGGAGTATCACTAGATGTGTAAAACCTGATCATACTTGGTTTTGATTTTTATTTCAATTTTGATTACCATCTGATATTGTTCTAACAGTAGAAATCATTTCATTTATTTGGTGAGCAGATTGAAGTAGTTGAGAAGTTCGTGTATCTAGGTAGCTACATAAGTACTGGTGGTGGCGTGAGTGATGAGATCGATGCACGTATAGTGAAAGCCAGAGCGGCTTATGCCAATCTGGGCCATCTCTGGTGCCTTCGTGATATTAGTCTGGCTGTAAAAGGTCAGATCTACAACGCGTCGGTGAGAGCAGTTTTGCTCTATGCTTGTGAAACCTAGCCTCTCCGAGTTGAGGATGTTAGACGACTCTCTGTGTTTGATCATGGTTGTTTTCGAAGGATTGCTGACATCCAGTGTCAACACCATGTTAGTAATGCAGAAGTTCAACATCGTGTATTCGGGCGCAGAGACGACATTCCAATTGGTGTCACCATCTTGAAACACCGACTTCAGTGGCTTGGACATGTTCTACGAATGTCGTGTCAGGGAATTCCACGTCGTGCATTATTTGCCGACTCTGGGACTGGTTGGAAAATGCGGAGAGGAGGTCAGTGTATGATATGTTTTTGTGGTATGAAAGAAAGCTGCAAAGGACTGGTTTCTGATGGTCTTTCACAACTCCCTGACTGGGGTCCGAGAGATGGTGCAACATAGTGTCTAGAGATGCCGTTATCAGATACGACTCAGAATAGAAGCCAGTGGCGAGCTTGTTGTAATCTTCTTTTACTTTCTTCATAAATCGTGGTTATAATCTTCTTAACTGAAAGTCTTCTGGTTGTAGATTTCAGTTCCCCTCATCATTACTCTTCTCCTTTCCTTTTTTCCTTCCTTTATATACATGCATCTTCTTCCTTCTCCCATTCTCATTATTTTGTGTGGCGCATATATATCTGGTGCCACTTTGTACAATTTGTATGTGTTTAAATAAATAAATAAATTGTTCTAACGAGAACTATGTTATTGTAGGGAGTTTATGAGGGTTTTTAAATTTTCATATTTAATATTTTAGACTGATCTTCGTTGAACAACCATTAAAATCTAGGAAACACTGAACATCTGTTTAGTCTTACTATGTGACCTTCAAGCGGTCCCCATCTTCGACCCCTCCACCATGTGACATCAGTCTTAGCTTCAATCATCGGTGATGGTGCTGTAGATACCTACTACTAAGAAGTTTCATACCAGAACGAATTGAATATGAACGCTTAAATTCAAATTCATAATAAGTAGTATTTTGAATAATCCTTTTTTATTTCGTAAGAAAGAAAGAAAGAATCAGATTACTCTGATAATGTAATTCTATCCGGATAAATTGATGATTATTGTTAATCTGGGACTTTCTTTTTTAATCACTGTAGATACATAAGTTTTCCTGATGTTCTACAACTAATGTATCTATGTTTAATCTGTTGTGATCAGCTATTAGAATGATCTTTTTGTTGTTGGAAACTATTGAAAAGTTTATAGACTATAAATACTCTATTCATGAGTTCAAATTTCATCATGGGTATCATATTATCAATATACTATAATGACTATTTCGTAAGCAGATAGAAATATGATTTGCATAATAATAAGAGGCATAGGATTAAGATCGAGAATTTCATATTCTTGCTGAAATATTACCAATCAACTGACTGACACTGTAATTCCTCAGTCAGTCAGCTACAACGTAGGACCAAGCACATATATTCATTGGTCCAAGTTGCTGTGCCGCATTAGCACAACAAGATGAACACCAAATTCATAGAAGCAGATACTTCAATGATATTAATATATAAAAGAAAAATTGCTCATAAACATATAATACAGGAAGAAAGAATTAATTTGTAGAAAGAAAGGTATAAAGTAATTTTAGTCTGAAGGTTTATGAGAAGACATAGAGTATACACACCTACGCCATTGTGATCGATTCTGAGCCATGTCACTCAGAGTCTCGAACCATTGGTTACGATAATCATGCGGACCTCTACCAAGTAGTATGCATCTACCAACATGGCTCAGACTAGAAGTTAGTAACTTTAGGGACTGCTGCCATGTTTTGGTTTGGCCGCCTCCAACCTTCTCGAACACTAGTCAGCATTGCACGTCGTAATAATCGGTGTACAGGCATACGTAACACGTGGCCCAACAACCTCAGTCGATGAAGTTTCATCACCTCATCAACTGATTTACCATCATTCCCTAATACCCTGTGTCTAACCTCACTATTACTTACCCGATTATCCCAGTAGATGTGAGCAATATTTCTAAGACATCTGTGGTCGAATACTAGTAACTTACGAGTATCTTCTACTCTTAATGGCCATGTTTCAAAGCCGTAAAGTAAAACAGAGCGACATACATACAAAACAGAGCAGTATACTCGTCCCTTAATTGATAGACGGATATCTCGTCTTCGCCATAGGTGACGTAAGTTGGCAAAAGTCAAACGAGCTTTTTGAATCCGTGCTGAGATTTCGTCAGACAGCAACCCATTAGGGCTAATCAGACTTCCAAGATAAGTGAAGTTTTTGACGCGTTTGACTACTTCACTCCCTATCCTTAGTTCAGTTGGCGCAGGCCAGTCCTGGAGTAACAATTTACATTTGGATGGGGAGAAACGCATTCCAAATATCCTGGCATTATTACTCAGTTCTAACAGAAGACTCTGCATTTTGTTAGCTTTTTCACCAAACAGGACTATGTCATCTGCGTATTCTAAGTCTATTAGTGGACCCCCTGGTAGGAGATCAATTCCTGAAAATTCAGTCGAGGAGAGTGTTATTTCCAGCAGTAGGTCTATAATGAAGTTAAACAAAAATGGGGATAGTCTACAGCCTTGTCGGATTGAACTGATAAGTGATTCATCAAGCAAAAGATCAAACCATAGAACATCAGACAAAGTAACTGTCTTACATAATTCGTTTGCTTTGAATTTGAATGAAACAAGTCATTTTTATTTACGGGAAAACGTTCATGAAAAGACCAAATTAAATCACTGATATGTATCACATGAAGTAGATCATTTAAATAACAGTTTGTATAAGATCTTTTCTAAACGTTATTGTACAAGTGGAAAGACTTCATTTGCTAATGATGATGAGTTTTATTGTGTCTAAACTTTTCAAGTAACAGCATCATAATACATATACATAGCCTTCAATCATGCATTCGCATCTTTCGGTATATTCTGCTATGTGAAATGTCTTCTCGTCTAGTCTTCAAGTATTCTGAGAAATCTATACTTTCGATGCATTGAAACTTTTCACTCCGTATGACAATTATTGCAACATCGACTCCACGTTGTACTATATACTACTTACAATCATCATTG